TAATAGCTTTTCAAGGATGCCAGACCTTCAAAAACGGCAGGAAAAAAAGAGACTTAAATGCCTGTAGCTCTGGCACATCATAGTTCATCTATTGCAGCCAAAGACAGACAGTGCCTACATCATGGTCACTGAAACTGTGGAAATTATCTAAGTGCTATTTCATGGAACAATCATTTGCAAAGGTCAAACATGAGCACCTGATGTTAAGCACCATGGGCAGAGGGGAGAGACACCTCAATAAAGATGATAACAGATACAAAAGAGACTTGTACAAGTGTTAAGATGCAGGGCAGGGCTTCTCAGATGGCTCAGTGGCAAAGAATCTGCCTGCCAACAAGGAGCATGGGCTCAATCCCTGGTCTGGGAGGGCCCCACATGCCACAGAGCAACTAAGCCCGTGTGTCACAGGTATTGAGCCTGAGCTCCAGAGCCTGGGAACTGCAACTTCTGAAGACTGTGTGCCCGAAAGCCCATGCTTGGCAACAAGAGAAACCACCACAATGAGAAGCCTATGCACCCCAACTAGAGGGAAGTCCCTGCTTGCCGCAACTAAAGAAAAGCCCGTGAAGCAACGAAGACCCAGCACAGCCATTAAAAAAAAAAAGACACATGGCATAGTGACAGATAACCTCTGGTATTGGGCAAGACTTTCAGAGGGTGTGACTCTTGAATTGGGTCTTGAAGGATAAACAGGAGTTCCAGAGAGAAAAGAAGAACAGAGGCATACTCGGGCTCTGTTCTCAGTATTCCTGGCAACTGGCCTGCGCTGACTCTCAAACCAGCAGGTTTCTGGAGAAAACTGCTGTTAAGCTGCAAACTTTAAGCAGATGTGCATGGCAGGCACCGATTCTCACACTGTTAGAGATCAGATATTAATATCTACATGTTCCCCAAGTCTAAACTGAAAAGCCACAAGAAAGACAGTCAGTACTCAGGGAGGCTGGTCTTAAATTCTGTAAGGTGGTGATACTGTCTAGGAAATTAGATATAGAATATCAACAAAGTTTTAAAATTTTTATCATAAAGATAGAGCAACATAGAAGCCCCACATGAAGCAAAGATGCAGGATAAAATACTAAAGATATATCAGTGGAAAGTACACAAAAGTCAGAAAGGAAAAGGGTAACAACTATCTCGAATTCAGAGAAAGGAATTGTGTTGAGTCACTCTGTGAAAATGAATTCAGTATTGAATGAGTGATGCTCAAGACAGGTGACCTACAGCCTCATCAGCACTATTCCTGAACTTCAAGGGACCTTCCCTGGACCACACTGGAATGACATGTGGAATACACAAGTGAATGGGTGAATCCAAAGGGCCATTGGTCTTATCTGTGTGCTGGGAGGGTTTTCCTGGCTAAGAAAAGGAATGTGCCCAGGACTAAGATCGGGAAGAATAAAGTAACTCCAATAACTTGGTCTCCTGGCACAATGGAATTAAAGGCAGGCCAGGTAGGCATCTTGGGCACTGAGCTATAATACAAAAAGTGCCAAAATATCCTATGAAGATAACAGAAACATGGGGCCAGCTAACTCAGGTTTCCACACACAATTTCCATAATTGGCAGGAAATGATTGGTTCTAATCCCTGAAAGTAAACAAGAGTCTTCTAGAGAAAACAAAGAGAAAAATGAAACCTCCCTAGGTTTCATTTAGCTAAGATGATCAAATGTTCCTGTTTGACTAGGAGATTTCCAGTTTACACCTATTTCACTATAATGATTAATAGTAACCCTTTCCTTCCAAAATGTCCTGGTTTTGATGATAAATTATACAGTCACCATCTATTTAGTCTATGTAACAAATTACTGTAACAAAAAGATTGAAACATATACTTTTTGGCAGAAAATGTATTTCAGGATAATTAAATAGCATCAAGAGATGAAAACCTTGTACTTCACAGAAGAATGCCAACTCAGACCAACTGATAAAAGTTGGAATTCTTATACCAGACAAGACTTAATGATTGGAATTAAAACATCAGGTGAAGAGTTGATGGAGAACTGGAGACTACACAATGACAAAGTCACGCCACACAGATTATTTTTGGGGCATAAGGAAAAAACGGTAAGTTTATCGTGGAGGCTGTCAGTGCCCAAACACTGTGGTAAACCTTTACTTACCAATGATGGGTAAACCAGTGCACGAGACCACTTAGAGTATGTTCTACTCACTGGTGAACCATAACTTACCAATGACGGGTAAACCAGTGCACAAAATCTTGTCTGTTCTACTCATAGCGTTTAACTGGAATCTAACCAAGCCTTTAAATGTGACTTTCAGTTTGTAGAAAATCCAAGAAGCAGAGGAGAAAGTTAAATCATGCAATGAGGCAGCGGTCAAACCCAGTCCAGGCCAGTCTTTTTGACATGCCAGTGAAATGCTGAACAGCCTTCTAATAGATTAAGAGACTTAAGGGACATAAAAACCAAATGCAGCGTGTTGTCCTAGAACCAACTGGCTCTAAAGAACATTTTGGAAGAAGTTGGGAAATATGAAAATGAACTGGATATAGAACGATAAAAAGGACTGATGATTAGTTTTTAGGTATAATATGGTATTACTTATATAAGAAAATGTCCTTTTTTTTTTAAAGAGGCACACTCAAGTGTATATAGGGACATGTTGTTATAACTTACTTTATTACTTTTGCATAAATATATGCAAAATGCAATAGGTGTATGTGCATACACACATATGTCCACATGTATATGTTTAGAAAATAGAGTTCTCCCTATCCCCTCCAAGGGAAACTAGAACTGTTTAAACAGTCATCATTTGCAGGGGTTGATATCAGCCTGTTGCAGTTGCCCCCGCGTCTTGAGCTCTAACATGAGGGATGTGCCTACAGACTGAGCGTGTTTTTATGGCAGATGCAGCCCATGTGACCGAAGTCTAAGATGGTGGCTTTTCCCAGCATCACAGTGCTAACATGGGCCTGGAGTAACTGTTGCGGATAACTCTTAGCCTTAAAGCAACTGATGGGTACCTGTCTACGAATCCACAAATCTGAGCTGAAGTAATGTCACCAGACATGTGGTGGAGCTTTGTCTCAAGAATACAGCTGCAGCAGCTGACCCGGGTGTCCTCAGGGCAAATAGGAATCTCTCAGAGAGCTTATTCCAGGAGCAGGAGGCAAACCGTTTGCTAACGGGAAGCCCTAACTCGGTAAGCACATCATTATGGGACACTGGCGCTCTGATGCCCTAGTCACAGGACTTCTCTGTAGGGAGAAGAGATCTAGGTGACAGGTAGAGACTCGAACAGGTGAGGAGGGGGAGAGACAGGCTTTACACTGAAGTACAGAGAAAGGGATTTAGAAATGATGGGAGGCAAGAGGATTTCTTAGTGAATGTAACTTTTTAATGGAGGAATTCTTCATCAGTAGGGGCCAGCAGAGGCATCACAGTAGTGAATCGAGAAGTGGAGGAGTTGAAGGAGCATCAGAGCTGAGGGCGGATAAGGAAGCCAGCAGACAGGGGAAGATGCAGTGAGCAGGAACAGGACAAGGGGTAAAACACAGCAGCAATGTGGGGAGATGGATGAGATCTGAAATGGCAAAGGAAGCAGAAGGACAGAGGGGGCAGAATGCAAAAGGAAGACAGCTGGTCAAAGGTTGAGGGGGCAGAATTTGGAACCAAAAAGAGTTGAATGCATCTTCTCATCTCTGTACTTACAGAAACTTACACAGTTGGAACTCGGGGAGGGGAGAGGAGAGAGGGAAAGAGGAAGGGGGTGAGGCGAAGGAAGGCAGGCAGGCACAGAAGAGGAAGACAGGCAGTGTGCAAGGAGGACAAAGGAAGCCAGGAACGAGGAAGCACGCATTTCAGAGACACACAGGGTGGGTATTGGCTTAAAATACGACAGACACGGTCTCCTGAGCATTTCACATCACTTTTCAGAATGACGTAATTCAGATTTACCTTGGGAATCCAAGTACTGTTTTGGCCAGGCAGTATTTCTGTGGCTGACCTGAATCATAACTTTTCTTAAACAAATGCCTAGAACTAGGGTAGGAGCGTGATCTACTTTACTACAAAAACAGAGCCCGGCTGCTCTAGGATCTTCCCTGTGCTGTTAGGCAATGTCAGTCTGCATGCAGAGCTCCTTATTTCCCCTACAGTCCGGCCCGCATTCAGAGGGTCATTTCAACATACAAACCGGCCTAAGGCTGCCGAATACTTCCCACCCTTTCTTCTGTCTGCCCAGAACCAAGAGAAGAGGCAAATGCTGGGTTAACATAATTAATGGAGACAGAAATCTGAAAAAAACCACTAAAAAAACCAAAATTCCATTTTTTCAGGCGCCCGATTATCTACATTGCTGACCACATTGATTGCATTAATCCAGTGACTGCCAAATCTTTACTTTTCTTTCTGTTAGGCAAGATTTAATCTAGAGAATTAACAAATCTCTCTAGGATGCAAATCCCTCCTAGGACACATGACTGTGATCGACAGCTCACAAAATAATTCTGGAATGCATGCAAAATTAGACTCACACGCAATTTCCATGCAAAAGCAAACCTATCTATCCATCAACAAAACAGTGGGTCCCAGAAAGCAGTCAAGATCCTATGTCTGGAAACCAGGAAGTCTGATGTTTGAGAAGCCATAATCAAGTGTATTTGTTAGAGGTTCTTCTGTGAAGGTGCTTTCCAACACATGAATAAGATCAACAACTTGCACTAAAATTATTATCAGATTTCAAATCACAGTGAAGTACATGTTTGAAAAACCACTGGTTTACAATTTGGGGGAAGAGATGGGTGAGTGAATGCAGATTCCTAGAGTCTTCAGTTGGTTTTCAAACAGAAAACAATAAAAGAAAAAGTCTCCCTGACTCACGAGGCCAATCCCTTACATAGAGCAAATTTAATATCTATACTTCCTAACTGTGCAGTCAGAATCAGATATGATACACAGGACAGAGAAGGTCTCATTGCAGAGAACCATGAAAGGAAAGAGGAAGATGCAAAGGGCCTCCTGGAGGAATACTCACTATTTGGTAGAGTCAGATAACTGATATTCTCGTCGTCTGTCATAGCATTCCTGGATTCCAGGATCATTCCATAAACTCTTTATTGCATCTACATATGGATTCTCAAATGCAGACACCTTCTCCACATCAACTTCTCGAACTAACTGTGCATGAGCCTGTTTAAAAAAAAAAATAGCAGTTTTAATCTCCTTCCTATTGAAGAAAATTGCCTTGGCTTGCACACTGCATTATGCACAAGTGAGGTCTTTCCTCATATATTGGTTTTCAAACTGGTTTATAATAAAGTAATGCTGCTTCTTTTTTCTTCTCCTTAGATAAAACCCAGTCCCAGGTCTTTTCCTCTAGAGTAAATGCTGAAGCTACCTAGGGATGACAAGAGAAAAGCAGACTGTTCAGCTCCCATGGGAACAATGAGGATGGTATGCTACAAATAATGACTACTTTCAGGTGATGATCATAATCCTAAAACAGTTCATATTCTTAAAGGGGAAAAGACTGGGTTATTTACCCCCTCTATGTTTATAGTTTATTATGATCAAACACAAAATATACCCAGCCCATGAATGTTGTATCTTAGCAGAAACTCAACGAGACTCAACTAATCAGCATTAGTTTCTATGATTCACTGTGAGGATTAGGATGTAAAACTACTAGAAGAACAGTTAATAGTAATGATTTGATTTGCACAATAGTGACCATGACCCCTCTACTCCCACACACCCAAATTTTCAATATTTACTTTATATCTACCTCATATCTTATCAGACTGAAGAGCCTATTCAATTTTTTTTAACACAGAAAAAGGGCTTTGTTATTTTCATTATATACAACATTTAGCAGGAAAGACGTAAAAAGACTTTTAAAAAATGTTCAAAAAGACTGAAATCAAAATGTATGGTCAACCTACAAATTAACCACCATACACCACTGCCTAACAATCTCAACAAAATAGGTCTCATAGGTGTAGTATACATGTAAATTATACAGTACATAAATGTGCAAATCAACAGATATAATAACTAATTATCTTGAAAACTGGAGGCAGATGGCTGCTAATTTATTAAAACTGTCTTGCTTTTGTACAGATATGCAAACTTCTGAACTAGGTTAGTGAATGGCTATCTTGATTACATGATGACCTAATTATTCCTTTCATAGAGTTTCAAGCAGATAGAATTTAATACATTTAACCTTGTGATTAAGCATGTCTGGTTCCCAATCTTTCTCTTCCTTCTCATCCCATAAGACGGAAGGGAACCCATGTCATTAGACTAATCTTCACTTAAATAAGGTTTTACAAAGCCTAACATGATGAGATTGAAGAAACCACCTTTCTTGCTGGTTCTACTTTGACCCTGACTGCCAGATCTGGTAAGTGAGAAGCCCTATAGGTCTGCCCTGCACCCCAATAATGGAAGATGAATCCATAAAGTTGTTATATGTACCTCGTCCCTGCCCAGACAATTTGTCCTATCCCAGCAATCTGACTATCCTGAAGTCCTGTTTCCAAGTGTCACTCCAGGTGGGCCTAGGCCAATCAGAGCTTCCCATGAAACCCCTGCTTTGAAAATATGTCACAGGCTCCCCAACGAATCCCCAGTGCTATGCTCTGCGGGACCCATTGCTCCATGTCGATACCAAAGACTGTCCTGGTCCCACCTGCTCAAGTGGACCTCCTCCAAGCACGAAACCCTGGGTGTGGGGCGTGCTCCACTCTGCCCAGCAGGTATGTCTCATATCTTATACCTTAAGGTCAAGCTTCGGGCCCTGTCTTTCCGCCCTTGCTCACTGAATACAAACAAGTTCTAATTCCTTGTGTCCTGAGATATCCTAAATTTGATTTCCTGGCTACATCTGGGTTCTAGAGGACTCTGTGCAAATCAGAAGGCAGATGCAAGGCAGAAACAGGCATGCACAGGATGGTCTCCTACTGGACACACTCGAAAGACATGGTTTTAATCGGACTCTGCTTCTTCTTTTGATACTGGATAAATTGCTTAATCTTTCCAAAAGTTATCTCTGGTGGGCAACATCTTATCCCACCAAGTCCATGTGGCTTATTATTCTGCTACAATACAGTAGGTGAGTGGTCCTCAAAAGGTGGTCCACACACCAGCAGCATTAGTTGGGAATTTAATAAAAATGCAATCCTTCAATGCTACATCAAACTTTTCGGAAGAGACACTGATTAACAAGAGGACACTGTTTCAAGAGGACCTCTGGATGATTCTGATGCATGGAAAAGTTTGAGAACTACTGCAAGCTATCAAGCATCACACAGACACTAGTTGTTGTGGTCATAATTAACTGTCTGGCTGGCCATGAAATTGTTATTGGAAACCAAAGAGAAGGGGCCCAGAAAGGCAACAGCACCCCCAAACAAGGGGCATTATAAGGTCCAGGAAGCTACAGAAATGAGTAGAACAGGCTGGAGGTAGGTAACAGTGAGTGGTGGGAACGGCAGCATACTGACCCTAAAGAAAGAGGACAGCTGCTATTAGCTCCAGCTGATTGTTGCCACTGGGACACAAGCTGAGTGTTGCCAGATTTTCCGAGTTATCAAGGGAAGCCAAAAATCTAGATTTTTCCATGAAATATCCCTAATTTTTATTCTTGGCAATGCTATAAATGATAAAGTGTATCTATCTGTGGCTAAGTTGGATCAGGTACCAATCATTTGCTTCTCCATGGACTTCCCTAATAAGATTGACCAATAACACCATCTCCTACACAGAACCTGGGACACAGTAGCTGACCACTTAACACATGCTAATGGGGAAGTAATTCTGCAGCATTTTCCTACAATAATATTTAGACAAACTATTATACTATCCATAGGGAGAAATGGTCGAGACCTCTTTGAATTGGGTAAAAGCTACAAGATGACACAGAATAGTGTAGGCAGTATTTAAAAACTGAATTTGATACTCATTACAACGGGCCAACCATGTCATATGGAAGGAATTCTATTTCTGTTTCTAAGGTAGGGAACTTATATCAGAGAAAACAGTTTCAGCAAGAGCAGACACTTTTCACGATGATGCTTAAATGTTTATTGAACCCCAATGAAATGTTAGGTAATACAGCAATTAAAGACTTAGACACAGTTCCTATGAAGTATAGCGGTAGGATTGGGGGTGGGGGAACAGTCCACAGACACAGTTCCTATGAGGTGTAGTGATAAGAGTTAGGGGTGGGGGAACAGTCCATAGACACAGTTCCTGTGAGGTGCAGGGGTAGGCTGGCAGTAGGAGGAACAGTCCATATAGCTGGCAACCAAAGCACAGGATTATGTGCTCCAGGAGAAGAAACGAGAGGGAACATCTGCATTTCCACCTTTAATTTCAGTTGACTGAAACAGACAACATTCTCATCAGTTGTATAACTGAAAAGTCTTCCTGTAAAATGAGATTACTTTTACTGTTGGAAAACTCCTCTAATTCCCTCTCTTGGTCTACCTCGATGTGCTTTTTCTTACGTCTGGAAGACCTTCTCTATTCCCTTCCGTACCTCTTTTAGCTTTTGTTCAGGCACCATATCCTATGCTGTCTCTTACAGGAAAATTTTCCCAGTGTTCCTCCTCTCCCCCAAAATGTGATCTTTGCGTCTTCTGAACCGTGGAACTTCTACATTTCTTGACTTACTGTCTTCTAGACCATACATTGAAGGAAGGGGCTGTAGCTCCTGGCTCTCATTTCTTTTGGGGCCCAGCATAGAGTGAGCAGACAACAAATATTTGTCTGATTTAAAAGGCATACATAAACCCAACTTCCTACAAGCCAAAGTCGAGTTTGTTAAGGAAATCTTCCACCCATTACCTACTCTCTCAGAACTACACAATCCTTCACAGCACTTATGTCAGTAGCTAGTGTATATCTATCCGGATGATATTTGTTAGTATCCTTCTCCCTAATCACAGTACAAGTTCCGAGACAAACTCAGTGTTACAGTATCAGAGTCTAGCAGAGTGCCTATCACTGATGCTCAATAAATATTTGTTGAGTTAAGAATACAGGAAGGAACAGTAGAAATTATACTGAGCTGGAAACAGGGACACTTAAACACTAGGCCTGGCTTTACACCTAAACCAAGCAATAACCCTTAGAAGAAATTATTTACTTCTTTACAACTTCATTTTCCTGGTGTGTAAGATTATGCAATTGAAACAAATCATCTCCCTATGGCTTTATCTAGACATATACTCCAGGATCATAAATAGATACATCCAGAATTACACGGGCACCAAGGACTTATGATCCTATCCCTCCAGGAGCACATAATATTATCATTTATTGCAACAAAACCTCACTATTTCAAAAGTGCCTGACAATACGGGGCAGAACATGATGAAGTCTGTATATGAGTGATGGTACATTGGGACTGAACAAGCAGAACTCAGTATGGCCAGACGAGGTGTCAGAGAGAAGACAGGATTTAGCTGGCAGGTGGAGATAAAGATGTGTGACGAGAGGAGGAGAAATAGATGAACAACGGTTTGGTAGACAAAATAAACATGGCACTCTTTCAACTGTGGGAAAAACAGTCTAGTGAGGAAATTTCATGCTGATCCTTAATGCAAATTAACCTCCACAGTGAAAGCTATAATATTAATCTCATCTATGAACCATAACCAATATCCACTTAAATCAAATCCTGTATGAATTCGCAGTAGAGGTAACGAATAGATTCAAGGGACTAGACCTAGTTAACAGTGTGTCTGAAGAACCATGGACAGAAGTCCGTAATACAGGAGGCAGTGAACAAAACCATCCCAAAGAAAAAGAAAAGCAAGAAGGCAAAGTGGTTATTTGAGGAGGCTTTACAAATAACAGAAGAATGAAGAGAAGTGAAAAGCAAAGGAGAGAGGGAAAGATACACCAAATAAACCACAGAGTTCCAAAGAACAGCTTGAAGAGACAAGAAGGCCTTTTTCAATGAACAGTGCTTAATAATAGAAGAAAACAGCAAAGGGGGAAAGACTAGAGATCTCTTCAGGAAAACTGGAAACATCAAGGGAGGATTCTGCCCAAAGAAGGGCACAATAAAGGATAAAAATGGTATAGACCTAGTAGATGCTGAAGACATCAAGAGGAGATGGAAAGAATACATGGAAGAACTGTATAAAAAAGATCTTAATGAACTGGATCACTACAAT